GGTTTCGGTTCTTGCTGGGTGAGCAGAGCAGTACCTTCTGCACCCTGCACTTTTGACCTCTCCTCAAATTCCCAGGATATAAGGAGTTTTCTTACATCAAGTCAGATTATTGGTCCAGTTAGCCCCATATTGTCAATCTCAAGAACTGCACAGGTTCCTTGGTGTTGGGCAAAAGTCACAGCACTTACATTCTGTGAATTTCTGATCAAACTGATTGGATGTCCTCAGCCTATGGAGATAATTGCACTTGGATTTTGAAAGGTGGAGGTTGCAATCTCATAGTTTCCTTACATACAGTATAGGAGGGGTATCCTTTTTGGTTTTTGCTGTGTGAAATTTTTCTCTGCTTCATCAAGTATTCCTTACTTCTTGCATTGTTGAAAAGAACAAGTAGCAGTCCCCCATTTACTCTTTCCAAGCTGTACATTGATCTTATTTATATTAATTTACAGCAATGTGGTCATGTTTCAACCAATGTGGTTAGAACTTACATTTTCTAATCTGCTGAGACACATGGAATGCCCAACATTATAAGAAAAGGATCCGGGGCTGTTCCAAGTGGACTTTTTTCTTTTTTTCTTTTTTGCAATGAGCCTTAGTAGCTGAAGAAATAGCACAACCTCCTGAATTGTATAATACTCTCCCCCTCCCCCCGCCCACCATCTCTAACTGTTCTTCTGCCTTATTGTTTTGAGCAGCTAATCTCTGCTGTGGTCTGTTGTTTCCCACAATTTGCATTGCTGGGATGTTTACTTCCTGGATTGAATTCTAGTTTAGCTACTACACTAATCCTTAAATAAATCTTTTTCAGTTTAACTCCATTCCCTTAACTCTATTGGCCAATGTTTACACTAATTTAAATGGGCAGGATATTAGATTAACGTTAATTGATGGGGTCAACATACTAATCCAGTTTCTACAGGTTTGCACCTTTGAAGAACATATTAAGTACAGCCACATAAATTACCCTTTCTCATGGCCACAGTGGGAGAGAATATGTTTAGAAAGAGGCCTGCCATTAAGTTTTAGAAACCAAAGATGCTTGTATTGTGCGCTGCTCAAAATCTAGTGTAATAGAAGCCAGCTTACATTGTTAAATTGAATTCAGTTTCCCTCGCTCACTCTCTGGCCTGGAATTCCAGAGGGTCATTTCAAATTAGCCCAAGCAACCTTTTGCACTAGTCAGTGATGTATTTCAGAGTACTGGCATCACAAAAATTGGTACTTGGATGTGCAAAATGACAAATAAGAAAAAAGGCATACAAATGAAAGATCTGAATTAGAAACAGCAAAGTAATTTACCCTCCAGACTGTATATTTGCATTTAAAAAATAACATGATGGGAAACCAGATGTCGGGTCAAAACTATATGGACAGGTTCTGATGAGATCTCAGAAGCCACAATTGTGGTTGAATAAGATTTTCAGTGGTCAGGTAACAAAGTTCTCATGTCCTCATAACTCACTAGCCCAACTGCCAGCAGAAACACAATTACGCAAATGGTTATGTACTTCTTTTCCAGTTATTGGAACTTGCTCCTATACCCTTGAGAGTAAGGTTAAATACCATGTGCTTGGGAAAGTATAACTGACCACTTGAATGCACAATCTTAGTTTCTCACGACTAGTTTGGGGCGGCTGTCAAATCCTGGAAATTATTTATGGGCTTGAGAAAGTGAAAACTTTTTCTTCCTCTCCTATAATATTGGCTCATGTACTCAATAAAGTTAATGGGGAGTAGATTCAAGACAGAAAAAAGGAAGTAATTCTTTACTCTGAGAATAACTTGAGAGATTCACAGCCACAGGGTGTTTCATCAGCTTTAAAAGGGACAATCATAAAGGACAACTCCATCAATAAAAATAAAAATTAAAAAATAAAATAAATAAATAAAGGGCTATTAGCCATGAGCAAGTGGGAACCTGCGAGTACAGTTCCTCCTCCCCTACTATTTCTTCTTTCCTTTCTCTGAAAGCCCCCATAGCCTCTTGTCTTTTCCTGTCTCCTTCTATCCTTGCACACCCATTGGCCAGCCTGTGCCCCAATCTTCAGTTCTTCCTCCTTTTTTTGCCCCCAGAAGCCTCTACCCAGGAACACTATGGCCCAGTTGTGCAGTGCCATTCACCATGCTGGGCCCTGTTCCAAGAGTATGTGAACCTAGGAGTTTAGATAACCTTATTTTACTAAAGAGACAATATTCAAATATAGTAAGAGCACACAGCAGCTAATCTGTAGCTCTTCAGAAACATTTTCCCAAAGGAAAAAAGAATTCCTGTTAGTGAATGAATAACTCAACTGCAGTCCTAAATGTTGCTTTGTTGCTGAATCCAAAGCCATCCAGGATGCAGGCCATGGCCTTTTCCCTACAGGGTAGGTGTTTATGGGCACGGTAGCACCAGCAGCTTTCCTGGAGCCCACAAACTCAATTTAGCTGTGGTGATGTGAAATTACTGACTCAACACTCCTGTAGCAACACATGTTGCAAGAAAGGGTAAGAAGACAGATGGAATGCTCAACAGTTTAACCACAATGGAATGTTTGGATCTGATTACCCTTAACTGTTAATCTGATGATCATCGGTTGTGGCATACAATACAAGCCCAGCAACCTTGTGACTGTATTGGTGAAGAATGCTGTGTAGTGAAACAAGGAGAATTCTCATGTCCTTTCTCCTTAATACAAAGCTTCCCCAGTTTTAACTAAGAGGAATTCACCAGTGGAATGCTTGGAAACCAGCTGATATTTTACAGTACAACTATGTTCCGTCAGGTAATGAGCAGTGAGGACTCTGAAAGGCCAGACGTTGCAGTGCCTGTAAACCTGTGTTCTTGACCTTTAAGGTTCTTCTGTGTTCTACTTTTGACTAGAGAGGTTTGTGCACAAACTAAATAAACTACAGTTTAGAGCCTCAGATTATGAAGAATCTCCAAATACAAGGGTTTTTTAAAACTAAATTTCAAAGTTTATTTATTTATTTTTAGTAATGCTACGGGGCCTCTTGAACGCCACATAATCCAGCCCTGCCTCCGGCTCACCAGTTTTTGCCTGACTTCTGAGCCGGACCCATCAGTTTTTGCCTGGGCTCTGCCTGCATCTCTGACACTCTGAACCAATTGTTTTGAAACCAGAAGTTGACAGCCATATTCTTTTGAGTATTAGGTCTTAGGTGGAAAACATCTTATTTGCCTAGACTGGCATATAGATTGTTTTTCTGCTGCTTTTCCGATTTTGCTGCCAGCTGCTCCTTTTTTGCTGTCAGGTTTTATTTTATAGACATTTTTGTAGCTGTCCTTGTTATTATTAGGAGCTGCGGTGGCTCAAGTGGTTAAGACGCTGAACTGCAGGCTGTGGAAGATCTGTAGTTCAGCAGTTCAAGACCCGGGTCCTGCATGACGGAGTGAGCTCCCATCTCTAGTCCCAGCTCCTGCCAACCTAGCAGTTTGAAAGCAAGAAATTGCAAGTAGATAAATACGTACCACTTCGGTGGTAAGGTAACAGCGTTCCGTGCGCCTTGGTGTTTAGTCATGCCGGCCACATGACCACAGAAACGTCTTCGGACAGCGCTGGCTCTTCGGCTTTGAAACGGAGATGAGCATCGCAACCCTAGAGTCGGACACGACTGGCTTTCGAGCAAGGGAACCTTTACCTTTACCTGATTTTATTGCAGTATAACTGTGTTTTATAGTATGGTATTTGAAAGGGTTAAAAGCAGCACCATAACCATCATTATCTTTGTATTTATCAATCCATTCCATCTCTCTTCTGGAGAGAAATTTCTTCACAGTGTGAATCCATGGTTCAGATTTAGCTGCAATGGTGCAAGGAGTGAAGTCATTCAATGATGATCAATTCTGCTTCTTTGCCGGGTTTACTTGATCCCCTCCTCCATTTCCAACATCATGTACCAAAAACCTCTATTAGTCCATTGTAGACATCCAGTATATTTTCATGCTTTTGCTTGTTTTGCAAAATCTTTTTATGCTACTAACTAAACTGTAAGGAAAAGGGGAGCCAAAACATAACATCTCACTTTCTGATGAAGGAAGCTTTGACTCTTGAGAGCTTATACCCTGGAACTCTTGTTGGTCTCTAAGGTGCTAATGGACTAAGAGCTAACTGTTTTACTGAAAACCAAAACAGCTACCCCTTGAAACTATCTCACTCCTTAGACATCCCACTCTGCTCAATTTTTCTGTCTCCTTCCCAGATTTGGGGAGAAAACACCAGGTATTATCTGTATATTCAGGCTCAGCACTTCTAGGCAGAAGGACGAGGAACTAACTGCCGCTAGAGCCGCTGCCACCACTACCACCACTGTGTAACTACAGAGTAGTACCGCCAGGTTGGGCCGATGGAGCAACTGGAACATCGTGGCCCATGGCATCCCCCTTCCTGACCTCCTCCTGATAGGCAATGGGGGAGTGTGTAATTTTAGTCTTTCATGCATCCTGTTAGTTGTGAATTTTTAGCTTCAACTGTTTTAATTTGTTTTATCTCTATTGCACCTTGTGCCTTGTAAGCCGCCCTGAGCCTGCATGTGGGGAGGGCGGGGTATAAATGAAATAAATAAATAAACTTTAAGATGAGAGCTGGGGTGCGGAGAAAGCTGAGATTGTTCTAATACTGCAGGCTTGTCCAACTTCGAACAGGTAGTGATCTATTTTTTCCGGCCAAAAGTGCCGGTGATCTGCCACCATGAGAATAAAGTTTCAAATTAGTTTCAAATTAGATTTTAACCCACTAAAGTTGGGTTCCACCCCCCCCCCCCATTTATAATGCACCTTCTGTCATTTACTGGTAAGCAAAATAATCAAAAACAAAACAGAGAGACGAAGATCCAGAAAGAACTGTGAACATTTTTTATTTTTTATTGAGTTATAACTTTCTTTAACTGTTTCAATAACTTTCTTTAACTTTTATTCAGAGTTATTTGTGTTAAATGTAGGTCAAATATTGATCCAGGCTGATCTTGCGCAATCTTTAAAACTTTGCTCTTGCTCATTAGTGAGACGTCTGAGCCTGCATTTCATTCACCAGCTTTTTTAAGTTGGGTGAATATTGCGTGCGGGCCAGTCTCAGGGAATCCTGGAGATGTTCATCAGTCATGTTGAAACGCTGTGTACTCTTTGTCATTTTCAGATGGAAAAACGCAGATTCACACAAATAAGTTGAACTGAAACAGGAGTTTACAGCTTCACTGCATCTTCTCAAGTTGGGAAATTTGTCTCTAGGCACTAGCTTCCAAAATGATTCTTGCTCAGCACGGGTCTTGAGAAAAATGTCATTTTTAAGGGTTAATATTTCATTTTCAAGAGATGCCTTGTTCAATGAGTAATTTTTACTGATAGCAGCTACAGTTTCTTTAATGTCCATATCTACTTTGAATGGGTATGACAAGTACTCCACAACTTTTTCAAATTTTTGGAAGTCACGGAATTCTTTTTTGAATTCCTGGATAACAGAGTAGATTTCTGTCACATACTTTTTGTTCTGAAAAACAAAATTTGGATTTTGTCCCAGATGGTCCTGCGTATTAAGAAAATGATCAAAAGTGTTGTTTGCAAGGTCAGTCATCATTAGCTCAAATTTGCTCTTGTAGGATGAAACTGTACTCATCATCTCACCAATGCATTTGTTTTTACCTGGTAGTTCAATGTTCATATCACTTAGCTCACCTGTAAAGTCAGCGAGAAATGCCAGATCACATAACCACTCCTCATCTTCCAACTCTGCTTTGTCATCTCTCTCCTTCAAAAACCTTATTTCATTGAGCAAATCACAAAATCCTTGCAGAAATTTGTGCCTACTTAGCCACCTTACATCTGTGTGCAAAATGATTTCCACTGCCCCTTCATCAAGAATAAGATTGAAAAGCCGTTTTTGAAGTGATCTTCCACGAATTGAATTTACAATTTTGAAAGCTATGTCCATGACAGTCTTTGTATTGACTCTCTTGCTTGCCAAAACTTGCTGATGAATGATGCAGTGGTAAGAAAGGAAATCTGGAAAGTCATCATGCTGTCTACAGAGGCCTATGAAACCATTAACCTCACCTGTCATTGCTCTTGCTCCATCAATAGTGATGGAAACAAGTCTATGCAAAGGAAGATTACACTTTGTCACAAAAGAATGGAAAGAGCTGAATATTTCCTGACCGGTAGTTCTCCCTTTTAAAGAAATCGTTCCAAGTAGTTCTTCTTTAACACTGACTAGTAACTGGGCTATGTCTCTTATGTCTGTAGATTCATCCAGTTGGAGTGAGAAAGCAACGCAATCTGAAACATCCTCCAACAGTTGTTCAGTTGTGTCTGCACACATCTTTTCTATTTGCTGCACGACGGTGTTTCTTGACAATTGTACATCTTGAACAGCAGCTATGATCTCTTTCTTATTCTTAAATCCTTCAAAAAGATTGTCAGCTGCTTCAAGAAAACAATCTTTTACAAATTCTCCTTCATTGAAAGGTTTGCATTTCTTTGCGATCAGGTTGCTGAACTTGAAGGATGCCATGGTTGCATTGACTGAATGTGACCTTGGCTTCGCCATCAACTGTTGCTGAGTAGCCAATTTCGATTTAAGTTCTTTGAGCTTCAGTTTACGAATTTCACTTTTGGGTGGAAAATCAGCATCGAACTTATTGCTATGCAGAGCCCTATAACCAGGGCTATTTTTGGGCAGGAACGCACAGGAACGGAGTTCCGGCTGGCTTCCAAGTTGGCCACACCCAGCAGGAGCAGGAACTCATTAGCATAATAGGCCACACCCAACAGCAGAAACCCATTAGGATTGGCTACATTAGGGGTGTGTGGCCTAACATGCAAAGGAGTTCCTGCTACAAAAAAAGGCCCTGGGTTTGGATAACAAACAAGGTAAACAGAATAAGAAGCAAAAGGTGGGTGTGGCTGGATGAGCACACTTCTGGTAACATGGGGGAGTGGCCTAATATGCCAATGAGCTGTGCTGTCAGGGGTGTGGCCTATTATGCTAATGAGTTCCTGCTGGGCTTTTTCTACAAAAAAGCCCTGCCTATAACGATGTTCCAGATTACCCTTTTTGGGCAAGGATACAGGGGTGTTACAAAGTAGACAACAACACTTATCTTTCACCGTGATGAAGAATTAGTCCATTTCCCATTCATCATGAAAATGGTAGGTTTTGCTCTTCTTTGGAACACTCATCTTTGTTATACTGGGGTGGCTGGGGTGCAAGGTTAGTATAAACACTGGCTGAATCTGGTCCAAAACTGTCACTGTCCCAAAGTATTAAAGATCAACAGGAACTGAAGACCTTTGGATGATGCCAAAACCACACATGCAGTTCTAAAAGTAAAAATAAGAATTCATCATACTGGCACCAATAATCAAATACCACCAAATAATCATCCAAAAAACCCCAAACACCTGTCCAGCAAACTAGGAGACCAAGTGGGGCTGGTGATCTACCTCTGACCCCTCCACGATCTACTGGTAGATCGCAATCTACCTGTTGGACATACCTGTTTGGGGATTCTATTGGGATTCTATATATTAAATACTGGATTCTAGTCCTTGATTAGTTATTTTCACTGCGCTGTCACATGTTCAGGAAACAGACCAACCTTACCATAATTCTACTAGCCTAAAAACAAAACTAGACTGCTTGCTTGGCTATAGAAAAATTAATTATTTGTGCCTTAAAAGGGGGGAGGAGAAACCAAATTTTGTGATGTTATTCCGCCTACTCAGTTGGAATTGAGTTTTACTCACCACAGGTAAGTGGGTATGTAGCTATTTATAATCATTGAACACAGCATCACCATGCCCAGGCTTGGTAAATGTGGCAGTGTGTGCCCTGCAGACCAGGGAAACTGTATCTCCTCCTTTCCTATTTATCATGGCAGAACTCCAATGGATCAAAAGGGTTGTCAACTACCAGGAACTTTGACCTGTTTCCCTGCCCTGTCCCTGCAAATTTGACCTGAATGCCTTTGTAGAAAACTACTCCATGAGGGCCTGGTGTGATTTAGTCCATGGGGTCACAAAGAGTCGGACTCAGCTGTGTGACTGAACAACAACAACAACTCCATTGAAGCACGGGGGCAGCCATTGGTGTTTGTTGCCAGTATTCTACCACTCAGTCATAGCTGCTGCTTTTGCAGTGCTTAGTAGTTTATAGGATTATTACATTAGTCCCTTGTGCCCCATATTCCCCAATGTTCACTTTTACCAACCATATATACCCATATATGCATAGATTCCAAGAGCATCTGAGTAATTAACACATGGAATTCACTGCTGCAGGAAGTGGTGGCAGCTACAAGCATAAACAGTTTCAAGAGGGGATAGGGTAAACATATAGAGCAGAGGTCCATCAGTGTCTATTAGCCACAATGTATAGATGGAACACTATGTCTGGGGCAGTGATGCTCTATATTCTTGGTGCTTGGTGGACAACACTGGGAGGGTTTCTCAAGTTATGGCCCTGCTGGTGGACCTCCTGATGGCACCTGGGGTTTGGCCACTGTTTGATACAGATTGATGGACTGGATGGGCCATTGGCCTGATCCAATATGGCTTTTCTTATATTCTTATGTTCTTACTCTAGCCCCAGGAGCCACCCCAACCATGTGAGGAGGACCCTTGAGACTTGCGTCATACTATAAGATTCTGCCACAAGATCATGTATACAGCTGTAGGTCAGTGTGGAGAAGAAATATTAAATTGTTCAAAATGCCTAGAGGGAAACAAGATCTATGCCCATTAGCATCGTGTGTGTGTGTTAAGTGCCATCAATTTGCTTATGACTTATGGCAACCCTATGTTCGTGAGATCAAGAACACTACAAAAAATTGGGTCTTCCATCACATGTACAAAACCAAGCGTGTACACTCATATATGTGTGCAGGATATGTATATGTATATGCAGATGTCTGGGGTGGGGCCAGCAGGAGCAGCCTCACTCCTTTGTCTGCCTTAAGGATGTCCACACTTTAAATGACTGAACAGAGTGAAGCGAAACAGCCTTTACACATGGGAAAGTTAGCAATGATTTCCATTGTCTCAGCTGCCAGGAAAATGCAGGAATTTGAAGCATTGGTTACTTTGCCATTTAGCTCATTGGGAATAGAATCCATTCTGGCCATTTTCAAAAAGTGGTGTAAAGAATGAGTAAGCATGCCAAACCCTGCCAACACGGATGCAACTGTCTTTTGTTCATGTTGTTTCCCTGTGGTATAATTGTCAGAAAGGTGCTCCATGCTGCTTACCTCATGAATAATTTCCTTTCATCTTTTAATGGGAAGATTTCAAACGGTTTAGATACAAACGATTTGCCACAGCCACACATACACACAAAATGGGTAAAGTAAGATAAAAGAGAAGAGTCTCCATTCACAGGTTAACCTGCCAAAAGGGTATATCGTGACCCCAATTTTAATTACAGGGAGCAATAATGAGTTTCATCCAGAAATAGCCTGTCTAATTAAATCTCTAACTGCAGCTTCGGTTCATCCTTGGTGTTATGACCTGGAGGGGGGAAAGAAAAATACATGAAAGAACTGGCATCATCATAATAACATCTCTTTCTTACTCAGACACAAAGGAAGAAAGAGCAGGGCAATTTCTTTGGCCCGCCTGGGAAGATGTATCTCTCTTGAGGGTATGTGTGTGCATACAGCATCAATTTATTCATTTCCTTCATTATTAAATTTCTGCCCTGCTGCCATTCTGTCCTACACAGGCGCCCAAAGCATTTCATGATGCAAATAGATAAGAAATGCAATATCAAAACCCCTTGAACAATAAAAGCTTGTTTAAAGATTCAAACAGCAAACAGGAGGCTTCCAGTGGGACAAGACTTGGTCCTCTGCCATGTAGGTCAGAATAGCTGGGGGCACAGCTACACAGCTCTGAAAGACTGATTCACACCAGCTTGTGCAACACCTAAATCTATTTTATATACTTACCTAACAAAGTGGCCCTTTGATGGAGGGAGGTGAGTTGAAGATTGTGATCATTCACGTGTTCCCTCTGTGCCTACAATAGAACGTGTTTGTGTGGATGGTTCTCAGGATCCTTCCCTCTCAACACTATTTGGCAGTAGGTCTCCACACATGACCCCTTCACATGTTGACTGAACATGTGGGGAGGGAGCATGAGCATAAGCATGCTGGCCCCATCCTATGCATGGTTCCTGGTTCCTCTGCATGGT